CAGGGCAGGGAGGTCCAGCAGTGCCCCACCACCACCAAAGACTGCCCAGAAGCCAGGGTCCCCAGCGGGGATATAGGGAGATGGAGGGCACTGGACTGGGCATTCCAAACTACCTCGTTGGTGTGAGGTGGGTGCCTCCCTCACCCGCTCACACCCCTGGGTGCCAATGCAGGCAAGTGTGGGGCAATGCTCAGCTCTACCTCAGTGCAGGTGGCTGGGGCTCAGTGCTACCAGGCTACCCCCTGCACTCCCACCACAGCCACGCCACTCTGTGTTTCTATTAAAGGAAGTTAACTGTTGAACCAAACTGGTGTTGAGAGTGGTACAAATGGCACAATGCCACCTGCCAAGCTCCAGTGCCCAGTCTGGGGATGGTTTGGGGGTGCAGGACAGCCCCACAGCACATGACACCCTAGCAGCTATAGTGTCTGAGGTTTCACAGCCTAGCCCACCTATGCCTCCAGCACTGAGTTGCCTCAGTTTCTGGGGGCTCTGGGTTGTAAACGGGTGCCCTACACCTACCAGGCCCCTCAGGTATGGGCTGGATCAGTCTGGGCACCAACTGCAGCCCTGCCAGCCAGGCCGTGGGGCTGCTTGGCCCCACAAGCTGCCCAGTAGCAGCTCACTCCTGGGTGGGGATGTTGTTTGGCTGCCTGTGCCAGGCAAGGGGTACAGCTGTGGGGCTGCCATGGCCGTGGCCATGGAGCTGTGAGGTTGCACCAGGAGAGACGCAAGTGGTCCTGGGCCAGCCTGGCACCCAGGCAGCATCCACAGAGGACACGGGTGACCCAGCTGGAGCTGGAAAGGAGACAGAAAAAACACACGGGTGCTCATGGGTGCATATATGGGTGCATACGGGAAAGCACAGAGACATGCAGGCAGCTAATTCACCGCATATACATGCGGGTTGCGTGTGCTCCCTCTCAGAAACTCAGTGGCATGCACTAATGCACACGCCCACAGTTACACCCGCACATAGGTGTGCAAATGCACGTGTTCGCACATACACATGGACTCGCACACATGTGCGGCCACCCGTACACA